GAAGGAGGAGAGATCAAGGTCTTTTCTGCCCTCCCGGGGGGGGGGGGGGCATTTGCTATGTTGTAAGACCTTCCAATCATATGGAGATTCTCAGACTGCACAATGAAGATCTCAGCAGAGAGGGCAGACATGTAATATATATGACTTGCTACAGCTGTTGGCTTTCTGATGGTAACAACCATGGGCCATGCCAATGCAGTGCATGTTGGCACAGTTGCTTATAGTCTACACAAGGGGCACATGTGATGGGGTGCGGTAGGAGCACAATTGGGAGACCGATATGGAGCACTGCCCCTCATCGCCTAACAGAAAATGCCTCAACAAGGACCTTCATGGCACAATCAGATGGGATTATTTTAGTGATAAAAGAACAACTCCAGGAAGTCTAAAAGTGAACCCTTGCAGAGGGGCTACCCCCACACGTCAAGGGTTAACTGATCGCTTTGGTCTAGGAGCTAAAATAAAAAAATACCTGATCCTCAGTCCCATTTGGCTGCTAGACTGGTCCCCGCAGCCTCTTTTCCCTAAGGCTCCGTCTGTCTAGGGACCCGTGATGTCATCACGTCTCATTGAACATGAGGACTTTGGGTAATATTCCACCTCCAGAGCGGAGGGGGAAAGAGGTGAGTGGTCACTGCAATAGGATTGAGGATCAAGTGAGTATTTTCTTTTAGCCCCTAGACCTAAAGGAGCGTTAACCCTTACAGTGCAGAGGGTGGTCCCACTGCAAGGGTTAATATTTTCTGGAGTTCTTTGACTTACATTAAAGAAGATATAAACTTAATGTGGCATTGTCTCTGCAATGGGCACTCTGCTGCTCCCTTATACTCGCCTTACCTGCTCTTCCTAGCTGCTTCTAACTCTGCTGCAGATGGCACTGAAATCAACAGAGTCCATGTCACTCCCTCAGTTATGTGACAGTGTGCTCGGGCCTAATGATTGGCTGCTAGGGGAGCCACATGGGAGTAGGTCACATGCTTCCTCATACCCTCAAGCACTGGGGAACATCACCGGTTGCGATGGAGGAAGGAAGAACAAAGAAGCGTATGCAAGTTTGGTACAAGGGGGTTGTGGGGCCCTTTGCAGAGATGCTGTCACTTTACTCTGCACGGGGACAGTGTGTCTTCATTAAAAGCATTACAGAATTATCATTTAGAACACCGTAAACCAACGGACGACCGAAATCAAGGCAGAATAATAACAATAAAAATAGTGGGGAACAACAAGGTAGTAAACTTTTGTCCCACAAAAAGAGAGGAATTAAATGTATGTACACCAACGCTAGAAGTCTGGCAAATAAAATAGAGGAGCTTGAAATTAGGTTAATTGAAGAGGACTTCGACATAGTGGGTATAGCGGAAACCTGGCTGGACAGCACGCATGACTGGGCTACTAATATAGAGGGGTATAACCTGTTTAGGAGGGACAGAGGTGGGAGAAGAGGGGGGGGTGTTTGCATTTACGTAAAAAATAATCTATATGTGCATATAAGGGACGATATCACGTCAAATAATGGGGAAGACGTGGAAACTCTATGGCTGGAGCTAGATATGACGGACGCTAGCCGTAAACTTCTCGTGGGTATTTGCTATAAACCTCCAAATATAGGGGAAGAGGGAGAAGTCAATCTTCACTCACAGATAGGAATAGCTGGGAGAGAGGGCAATGTAGTCGTGATGGGTGACTTCAATTACCCAGACATAAATTGGGCCAATGGAACTTCGGGTTCGGCAAAGGCGGGGCGATTTCTAAACATGTTGCGCGACAACTTCATGGACCAGATGGTGGAGACTCCTACCAGAAAAAATGCCATCTTAGATCTAATTGTCACTAATAATGCAGAGTTAATCGAGGATATTGTAATTGGGGAGTCATTGGGTAATAGTGATCACAATGTGATTACTTTTAATATTGAACACAGAAAAGGGAAGTGTACTGGAAGGACTAGAACCCTAAACTTCAGAAGGGCCAACTTTGAGAAGCTGCGCAACCTAGTGGGGGAAATAAAATGGGAAAACTTATTTCAAAACCTAAACACAGACCAGATGTGGGATTGTTTTAAAAACACAGTACATACTGCTACTTCAAAGTGTATACCTTTAGGGAGCAAAAATAAAAGATCAAAGACTAAACCAATATGGTTTAATAAAACTGTAAAACAACACGTCAAGGACAAGAGAGCGACATTTATAAAATATAAGACGGAAGGGACGGCATTGGCGTTCCTTAACTACAAAAAATGTAACAAAAAATGCAAACTAGAAATCCGGGCAGCTAAAACGGAGTGCGAAAAGCATATCGCCGCAGATAGTAAAAAGAACCCCAAAAAATTTTACCAATATATTAACAGTAAAAAGGTGAGAAAGGAGCAGATAGGCCCAATAAAGGATGGAAGCGGGAAGCTAGTCACAAACGACAAGGAGAGGGCCGAGGCGCTGAACGCTTTTTTCTCCTCAGTATACACTCGGGAGGGAAACGGGTTTGACACACATGATAAAACTCCCAGTTTAACTCAAAATATACCCCAGTGGTTGACAGAAACCGGGATACAACAAAGACTTAAAATGCTCAATGCAAACAAAGCAGTGGGTCCGGATAACCTGCACCCCAAGGTACTTAAGGAATTAAGCCAGGTTATAACTAGACCATTAATCCTCATTTTTAAGGACTCCTTAATGACTGGTAGGATCCCCAGTGATTGGCGGAGGGCTACGGTAGTCCCAATATTCAAAAAGGGGGCAAGGTGCCAACCTGGGAACTATAGGCCGGTCAGTCTAACATCGGTAGTTTGTAAAATGCTAGAGGGCATAATAAAGGATTATCTGGTAGAATTTGTTCAGGAAAACGGGATAGTTAATGACAATCAGCACGGGTTCAGGAAAGACCGTTCCTGCCTAACTAACTTGCTAACTTTTTATGAGGGGGTAAGTAGAGATATGGACGGAGGTAAGCCGGTAGATGTGGTATATCTGGATTTCTCAAAGGCTTTTGATACGGTACCACACAAACGCTTGCTACACAAGCTGAGGGCTATGGGCATAGATGAGGTGGTGTGTACGTGGATAGAGAACTGGCTACGGGAACGTGTCCAGAGGGTATCTGTAAATGGCACCTTTTCAGACTGGGCTAGTGTAATGAGCGGTGTGCCTCAGGGTTCTGTGCTGGGTCCCATATTGTTCAACTTATTTATTAATGACATCGGGGAGGGTGTTAACAGCGATATTTCCGTGTTTGCGGATGACACCAAAATAGGGAGGGTAATAGACACGGACTTAGACACTATAACATTACAGGAGGACCTGGATAAAATAGGGGAGTGGGCATTAATGTGGCAGATGAGGTTTAATGTCGATAAATGCAAAGTAATGCACTTTGGAATTAAAAATAAACAAATGGGTTATACAATTATGGGTATGCCGCTGGGGAAGTCAGAAATGGAGAAGGATTTGGGGGTCATTGTAGACCACAAACTGAAAGGTAGTTTGCAGTGCCAGGCTGCTGTAAACAAAGCTAGCAGGGTCTTGTCCTGTATTAAAAAGGGGATGTATTGCAGGGACAAGTCTATAATTTTGCCACTTTATAGATCATTGGTTCGACCTCATCTGGAGTACGCGGTCCAGTTCTGGTCACCAGTACTAAGAAAAGATGTCCTTGAGTTGGAAAAAGTCCAGCGAAGGGCAACCAAACTAATTAGGGGTATGGAGGACCAGAGCTACGAGACGAGGCTACTAAATTTAAACATGTTCACATTAGAGGTGAGGAGATTAAGGGGGGATATGATTTCCATGTACAAAATGTTTAATGGTGGTAGCAACATTAGCGATAAACTGTTTAAAATTAACTCCGTTACAAAAACTAGAGGCCATCACCTAAAATTGATGGAAAAAAAATTCCAGCACAAGGGGCGAAAGGGGTTCTTCACAGTAAGATCAGTTAGGGTCTGGAACTCACTGCCACAGGCGGTGATTTCAGCAAATAATGTGGAATTGTTCAAGAAACTTTTGGACGATTTCTTAAGGGACCGTAATATACAGGGGTACAGGTACTCCTAGAATGAGATCCTAATAGGTTGGACTTGATGGACTAATGTCTTTATTCAACCTCAAATACTATGTAACTATGTATGTAACTATGTAAACCTGAGATAACAGGGAAAAAGGGGTTTTCACTTCTCTATAATGATGATAAAAAAAGCAGTCATTTTTTTTAAAATGGATTTTTTGCTTTTATTTATATTGCACAAGTACACTTATTCTTTTTGAAGTTCCGCCATAGGTGGGTACACTCCTTGAACCTCTCACAATGTTCTATTAGGTTGCAGATAATACTTGAGTTTCTTAGAGTCCCAGTCTTTGATTGGATTGCATTAAAGTACATGCATACAGAACTCTAAATGATATGACGTAGCGTTTTGGGGACCCAACAATGTCTTTGAATAGTTTTTTTTACTAATCAAGCAATCTCTGTGTTTTGCTTTCCTAGAGCTTTGGTCCAGTGATGAGATACAATGATCATACGTAGCAACCTCCAGAAACAAGTCCTCAGTCTGTATAAACATCTTATACGAGCTGGTAAAGATAAGCCAGGTGCGCTTCCCAGAATCCAGCATGAGTTTCGGAGGAACGCTAAGATCCCAAGGACTGAGGTTATGCGCATCGAGTATCTTGTGCGCCGTGGCCGCAGGCAACTGGAACAGCTGAAAGATGTGAATACAAAACAGCTTGGGGCGTTCATAAAGACCTCTCCTGACCAATCTGAATCTACATAACCAAGACGGGGCGGACGTCCTGCACATGGACTTACCTTTGGGATGTCCAGGATACTAATGTCAAAAGGTATTTGTCCAAAAACGCTTTCAGCAATGTGGTTTGTTGTAGAATTGCGTTGAAATGAATGTTGGCTTTTTTTTGCGTTCACACTGGACCGGAACGTAGGCAATGTAGAGCCGCGCGTCCGATCGCAGTGGGGGGCGTGGCTGTGGTGCCATTAACTTTACCCCACCGCCACCCCACCCCAGAAAGAAGGGGGCAGTTTAGTGTGCGATTACTGTGTGTTCCAGCCGCTACAGCTATGGAACACACCGCAATTGGTGTAAACCGGCCCTCAAAGAAACCTTACGAGTTCAATAAAATGTTTTCCTGTTTAACCCCTTATTAACCTTTAGGTAACACTAATCGGCCCCGACTCCTTCCTCCGCATAGCTATTGGTTTTCTGACTTTCTTTTTTTTCTGTGTTGCATAAAATGTCAAAGCCTTTTCTTTTTCCCAAACAGAGCTGGTAGCTGATTGGCTGCCCATTCTGTTAAAAGATTTTCTAACTGTTACCTTTTAATCAGCTGATTGAGGGATGCCGGCCGACAGCGGTACCCACTCTGCAAATTTAATTCGGTTTAGCACGAATCATACGAAATTTGCATAGTGCGTGGACAGTTTAAGATTTTTAGCACACAAGCAGCATGCGCCTGCGCGTAGCATATCCAGCATTCCAGGTAACTTAGCTGGCCCAACCAGAAGTAAAGTTTATTTCCACTGAAAGTAAAGGACACCCAAGTAATGTGGAGGCATGAGAAGGTGGAGCAGTCTCCTCTACTGCTTTTACTGGTATTTTCCTCCTAAAGTAATCTTGCATGTGCTTGTTAGGCTCCCATTCCTGTTGGGAATCTAAGTTGCATTCTGCATTACAACTTCATTGCCTATTTTAGGTTCTAAAATGTCATTCAAGTGATGAAGGTGAAGTCAGGAGACCTGACCCACATGCTTGCTCTGCGTTAACAAATCACAAAGTAATGAAGACATGGGAGAAGCAAAACAATTTGGGAGCTAACAACTGAAAAACATCTTGACAGGCTCCGTATTTGAGATAACAGGTCCACTTTGAATGTGATTTATTCTATTAAAGCTGGGTGGAGAAGGGATTAGCCATCCTTAGGATTGGTCCTCCTATGCCAGGAAGAAGACCTTAGATTCTAGATGTACATGGGCGAGTATACATTTTTTTTTTTTTCTGGGTAGAGATGCCATATTGTACAGGATACACTGAAGGGGGCATGGTTAGAGCAGCTCCATTGCACAGGGTCCATGGGCAGAGCAGCTCCATTGCACAGGGTCCATGGGCAGAGCAGCTCCATTGCACAGGGTCCATGGGCAGAGCAGCTCCATTGCACAGGGTCCAT